TGTCTGTATTTATCCTGATGGATTCCATTTTGACCTATATCCAAAATCTACTTTTGTGATTAAACTACTTTGAGTGAATATGAAAGAGAATTTTTCTTAATTTGAACAAAATGACTTGCATAAATTTTAAAACCCATCCGTGAATCTGGGGAGAGGGTGGAGGTGGTGGAGAGTGCACTAAAGTTGGTGTACAGTCGTGGTTTAAACTGTTTATACTTTTAATAGACTGAGGGTCCCTTTTAGTGCCTGAATTTTGAAAGGTTTATAATTAATAAAATAAGGTCGTATCATCTTCAGTCTGCCTACTGAAGTTTGTTTGTTTTCTTGTTTAGAGCATCTGTATTTAAATGCTGCATATTCTATCACTCGGACAGATGAGTAATGACTGGAAATTGTAGATTTGCTTTAAGTTGAGATATTTTTGTAAAGGGTCATTTTAGTTTGTTTTCCACTTTTTGTCCTTTGAAATAAATGCAAATTGTCTTTTCCAAAAACATTTTTACTTGTAGGGAATGACATGCTGCACTTACAAAGCCTTAACTCACAATCATCTGCATTCTGACAGGTGTTGCTGTGGACGACTCGTCCGGCAGCATCTTGGCTTCACTGCAAGCCTGGCAATGAAGTATTCCGATGTAAAATTGGGTGAGTCTGAAAACCTGGAGAAAGAGGAATGGTCGGTGGAGAAACATACTAATGAGAGTCCAACAGATGCTTATGGAGTTATTAACTTTCAGGGAGGGTCCCATTCTTACAGGGCTAAGGTTTGTAGAATTTGTGTTCTGTTTCTTATAGATGTATTAAGTTAGTCAAGTGCTTCTGTACACTGTGGTTAATCTCTTGTCCATTAACGAACTACTTGTTCTGGTATCTGCAGTCAAAATGTTACCTTGGTATTAGATACTCCCTAATTTCAATTAAGGATGTGAAAATGACAAGTTTCTTAAAGGCCTTTTAACAGAAAAGTCACGTGACATGTTTAATTTTCCAAATGATGGAAGTTGATTCTGATCCATAATATATTCATGTTCAATAAAACCAACCTAGAGTGACTAATAAATACACTGTACTGTAGTGCTTCATCTTCTATTTGGTCAACTATACAAATATTTCTATTTGTGATAAAAATTTCTGAGAGGGTTAGCTATTTTTTTTGTGAATGCTCTGTTTTTTTGATTATTTTAATGGAATTGTTCATCTTTTGAGGAGGCAGCTAAATGCATGAATTAGGAATTTGTGTCAGAAAAATGCAGAACGTACACAGGTTTTGGTCTTCGAGAAGTAATTTTTTTTTCCTTTTATTTGTTCATGGGATGTGGACAACATGGACTGGGGCAGCTGAAACGGTGGTGTTGACGTGTCTTCTTGAACACCACAGTTCATGCATCTGCTGTCCTTGTCCTCCTCGGTAGTAGAGGTTGCGGGTTTGTAGGTACTATCAAAGGACCCTGGGTGAGTTGTTGCAGTGCATCTTGTAGATTGTACACGCTGCTGCTACTGACTGTTGGTGGTGATAGGAGTGACTGTTGAACTGGCAGATGAAATACCAATCAACTGGGCAGTTTTGTTCTGAATGGAGTCATTGAAGCTGCACTCATCTAGGCAAATGGACAGTATTCTGACATATGCCTTTGAGATGGTGGACAGGCTTTGAGGAGTCAGGAATGAGTTACTACAAAACTCCAAATTTCTGATCTGCTTTTGATTATAGGTTTGTGTGTATTCTTTTATACAAAATAACCACTATACCTGATGTTGAGGACGTCTGAAATTCTGGTTCAAAAATCAAATTTATATTTTTAATTTTAAAAATATTGTTTTTCCGCCCTTTCTACTGCATATTGAGTCCTGAGGTCATCTTTGGCAGTCTGGAAGAGAAGAGTGTCATTCTAATTTCTCAAAGGGCTTCACGTGCAATGAGTTACTTTCAATTGTAGTCACTGACAATTAGAGTTTGCCACTCAAGGAGTTGGGGAAATTATTGTGTGAATCCTATTGTAATCAAGATGAAAGTTAAATTTGTGGTAATGAATAAAAGGATTTTCTCCATTTAGGAACTGTGTAACTGACCAATATCCATATCTTTTTATTGGAATGGCACAGTATGCACGACTCTCCTATGATACAAAGCCTGAAGCTGTTTTAAGACTAATGCTGAAAGAATGGCAAATGGAATTACCGAAACTCGTCATCTCTGTACATGGAGGAATGCAAAATTTTGAACTTCATCCACGCATTAAGCAGGTTGTTGGAAAAGGTTTAATCAAAGCAGCTGTGACCACAGGAGCCTGGATTCTAACTGGAGGAGTCAATGCAGGTATTTCAAAAAGAAATGCTGGATGATTGACCAGGTGATTGAATCCTAACCAAGCCATTGGCCAGTGATGGAATTCTGCCAAATTTCTCATTTGCCTGTAACTAATTCGTGCATGTGAATAGAAAGGATGTCTGAAGAGTTAGGCCTGTAGAATCTGCCTGTACTTGTAAATTTAAAAGCATTTTTAGTGCTTATTTTTAAGAACTAATGTCTTGCTGATCTTGATGATCTAAAGCTATATTTGCTACTGATTAGAAAAAAGTTAAAATGAGCCCTGGTTTCCAATATTGTTGAGAGCATATGTGCATACTGTGAGTAAAATGTCCACTGAATTTTTGGTCTGTTCGTTGAGCAAGACGAGCTTGAACTCTTCCATCTGCTATTATTTAAATTTTTTTTTTCCAGGTGTTGTGAAGCATGTTGGTGATGCACTGAAAGAACACATTTCACGTTCATCTCGGAAGATTTGCACAATTGGAATTGCCCCTTGGGGTGTGATTGAAAATAGGAATGATCTTATTGGAAGAGATGTGAGACTGTGACATTTCAGTTTAAGTTCAGCATTGTTGAATTTTATGTCCTTTTCTCAAAAAAAAAAATCTTTTCATGTAACCCGGTATTTCTTTTGATTTGCAGGTTATTGCCCCATACCAGACACTACTGAACCCTCTGAGTAAGCTGAATGTTCTAAACAGTTTGCATTCCCATTTTATTCTGGTTGATGATGGAACAGTTGGGAAGTATGGTGCTGAAGTAAGGCTTCGGAGAGAGCTGGAAAAACACATCAATCTTCAGAAGATTCATGCAAGTGAGTTCAGCAGACATTCCTAGACCAAGGAATAATAATTTGTGGATATAGATTAATAGCCTGGAGTCTTGTTCACTTGTCATTTGACTTATCCAGTTAGAATATGAAATTAGGGAAGAGTCTATAATTGCGCAACTTGTGGGTACCAGTCAACTCTTGACTGTGTGGCTAGTTTTTGATGCAGGGCAATGCCAACAGTGTGGGTACAGCTCCAACACCAACTGAGGTGACCGTGAAGGATTCCCCTTCCCAACATCTCCCCCCACCTGAGTCGTGGTACCCCTCTGGTTAAACCACCATCTGTTGTCGCACGCGCACTCTCTCTGATAACGCAGCCATATGGTGACTTTACCTGTACTTTTTTATGGGTAACATGTTTGCACAAAGCATTACCTCTTGATATTCAATGGTGTTACCATCACTGAATCCCCCACTATCGATATCCTGGAGGGTTATCATTAACCAGAAACTCAACTGGACTCCCCAGACAAACACAGTCGCTCCAAGAGCAAGTCAGAGGCTAGGAATACTGTAACGAGTAACTCCCTTCCCGACTCCTCAAAGCCTGTCCTACCATCCACAAGGCACAAGTCAGGAGTGTGATGGAATACACCCCACTTGCCTGGATGGGTGCAGCTCCAACAACACTCAAGAAGCTCGACGCCATCCAGGACAAAGCAGCCCGCTTGATTGGCACCACGTCTACAAGCGTTCACTTCCCCCCCACCACCAACATTCAGTAGCAGCAGTGTGTACTATCTACAAGATGCACTGCAGAAATTCACCAAAGATCCTCAAACAGCACCTTCCAAACCCATGATCACTTCAGTCTAGAAGGACAAGGGCAGCATATATATGGGAACACCACCATCTGCAAGTTCCACTTCAAGCCACTCGCCATCCTGACTTGGAATATATCGCCAGTCCTTCACCGTCACTGGGTCAAAATTTTGGAATTTTCTCCCTAATGGCATTGTGGGTCAACCCACAGCAGATGGATTGCTGCGGTTCAAGAAGGCAGCTCACCACCACCTTCTCGAGGGCAGCTAGGGACGGGCAAGAAATGCTGGTCAGCCAGCAACAGCCACATCCCACAATGAGTTTTTAAAAAAAGTCCGTGTTCATTTGTTCATGTCTGGCAGATGGTTTAAAAATCATGTTATTTAAACATAAAGCTCAACTTCAGAAATTTATCTTACAACTATATTGAGCAGCTACCTGCTTCTGTTGGGATGATAAACTATTACTTGACATTCCACTCCAGCCTAAACAATATTTTCAATATCACAATGGTATCAGTCTGTGCCTTATACATTTGCTGCTTGCTCAACAGCATGTAGCTGGTAATGACTTCTTCAAGAGGCTTCTGGATGCAGATTGATTTCTGTAGTTATATTTTGCACTTGTCTCTGATCATATCAGATCATCAAATTACCAAATTTTTACTCTGGTTTGACATTCATGTAGATCAGCATTTTCTCACAAAAGTACTTTTTATTCTCCCTCTCTCCTCTAAGCACAAGTAAAAATAAAATTTCTTTGTTACTGTTTGCCTTTTTGCAGGAATTGGCCAAGGTGTGCCAGTCGTTGCTTTGATATTTGAAGGTGGCCCTAATGTAATCCCCACTGTGTTGGAATATCTTCTGGAGAGCCCCCCAGTCCCTGTCGTGGTATGTGAAGGAACAGGCCGGGCTGCAGATCTTCTGGCCTATGTGCATAAGCAGACTGAGGAGGGAGGGTAAGAAATGGATTTTTAATCTATGCATGAGCATGGCATTTGACACTAGGGAGAAAAGAATGTGGTGTACTTTGGTTCAATATTAGTTAATACATATCTGCTCATTTAAATTGTCTGAATGTGAAATAAAGCAGGAAATGCTGGAAAATTCAGATCAGGCAGCACATGCAGCAGGATCAACAGTTGACCTTTCAGATCAATGACTTGTCAGATCCCCTTTTGCCCCCTTTATATGCATTTATTGTAAACTGAAGATTTGAAAATAAGTGCTTCATGAAAAGGTAAAACACAGAAAAAAGCTGTTGTTTTAAGTATGTACCTTTTTCTGTAGGTGACTTACTGTAATCCTACTCCTCTTCCTGCTCATCCAATATTCCTTTCTTTGAATTCCCATCCAATGTCTTTTTGAGAAATTATGAATTGTTCCAAAATAAAGAGAAATCTCTTTACACATTCACCATCCTCTGAGTAGAATTATCGATAACAAGGCTGTGGAAATCAAGTCATAGAGCCACGCAGCATGAAGGAGCCCTATCGAGTGTGTCTCGACACAAATAAACTCTCCAGCACTGGGGCCACAGCCTCGAGTGGTATGAAATTTCAAGAGTTCGTCTGTGTTTTTTTTTTTTAAAAGGTTATGAGGTTTCCTACCTCAACTCCCCTCCCTGCAGTGAACTCCAGATCCCCACCACTTTCTGGGTGATAAAATCTGGAATGCTTTGTTATCACCCAGAAAGTGGTGGGGATCTGGAGTGTACTGCCGGGGAGGGGATTTGAGGTGGGAAACCTCATAACCTTTAAAAAGTACGTTGATGAACACTTGAAATATCACTGAATAGATTCAGGAAGGAAGAAAATTTCTAGATGCTAAAGATGTTAAGGAGAATGAGGTGAGAGTGGGAGTGTGGCCTTGAAACAGGATCATATTTGATGGAAGAGTAGCTCAATGGGCCAAATGGCCCAGGTTCCCAGATTTAAAACACTTTTTCTCATGCTAGGACAGCTCATCATTTACTTGAAGATAACTCTCCTCCCTTCTAGTAACCCATTTGGCTGTAATGAAGTAATATCTAAATGTTCAAATTAATTAATATTGTCAGGAAGCAAAGGGAAGTAATAGAGGATTTTATGAAAATGTTAGCTAAAAAATGGGTTAACTATTCTCATGAATTGACCTAAATCAAGGTTAAGTGTTTAACACAAATGTAATGAGTTTGCCATTTAACTAACTGGAACTGCGCACGTGCACACACTTTTTTTGTTTTTTGAAATATTGATCTGGAGTATTTTTGTTCGGTCAACAACTCACTTATTCAATGTGGTTCACTGAATTTCAGTATTTAATGGAATTTGTTTGTTCTCCTTTAGAATACTTCCAGATGGTTTGGAATTAGAAATCCTCACAACAATCAAAAAGACTTTCAACTTCAGCCAAAGTGAGGCCCACCATCTATTCCAGATTCTGATGGAATGTATGAAGGCGAGGGAACTTGTAAGTTTTGTCACAATTTACTGTAGTGGCCTGAACGGTGCAGTGAATAGTCTCACTGTATTTTTCAGACTCATGTTTGAATCCAATCTGTAGTAAAGGCACGATGCCCATATTCTAATTATCTTTAATGAATTTTAGTGAAAGACCATCATTTCTCTCTGTGCAAAATTTGACTGTTTCACTCCAGGTTTAAGCACATAACATGTTGTGGTTTCTCCATCTCCAACTGCGGGATGCTCAGGGTACCTTACAATGTATTTGCAGACTACATTATAACAAAGCAAAAAAGGACATTTAACCAATGTACCCTTAACAATGGCTCCCAGATTCTAAAATGATCAGCCATATTTATCCTATCAGTTTTTGTTCTGTAATCACCAGTTGTCTGTTCTACTGCATCCTCATTTTGTTTTAATGGGAGTTCTTGATTTCCTTCTTTCTGTCAGCCTTAATTTCACATTGTCCCCACTGCTTAAATATTGTACTCCATCCTCCACCTCCAAGCAGCTATGTTCTAGCACAAGTAATCTGTTAAACTCAGGATCAAGCTTTTTGGTGACAAAACCAAGCGCTCTCCTCCGGGTGCAATTTAGCGAAGGCTGTGCAGAACCTTCTTTTGGTCAATCAAGCACATCCCTAACAATGCATCCCAATAGTTTATGTAACTGTTTCCTCCCACAGCCTGTGAACATTAAATTAGTGATTTTCATGATTGAGTTCAAAGCTTTCTTATCTGTCCTGTTTTACCTCCATGGCAGTGCCATTTAAATTGATCTATCTTACACTTGCTCTCTGTCAAATCAAATGACTTTGTTCAACTTAATTTGCTACTGATCAGCTCTTTTACACCTGGCCTGTAATTCCCTGGATTTGTTGCACATCTCTTGTCATCGTTGGTCATTCCATACAACCTAGTGGATTACAGCTAAGCAGAGTCCATAAGCCTGTATTGGTTTAGGGCTAATATCAAACTGTGTATTCTGTGAAATGGGAGGAAAAACTAGGGTTTGTTTTCAAGGCTGTAGCGAAGGCTAAGAAAGTGTGTGCATTTGTACAGCACTTTCCACAACTTGGGACAATCTAAAGTGTTTTACAACCATTCTAAAGTATAGTTACTGTTGTCATATCAAAAATGAGGTTTGGAATTTGACTCGGAGATATAAATATATGGCCTAAACAAAGCCTCAGGTTGGTGTGCTGAAGAGGAATCTTATGGAATCAGAATGGTTCCTACGTAATGGATGATTGTAACCTGAACTACATCTCTCATCTCATGAAATCCATTACCCCGAGTTCCAACAGCAGCGGGCACAGGCGTACTGTCACTCAAGCTCTTGAATGACGCGCTGAATCAACTAGAGATAATTATGAGATACTTGCAAAGCAAAACTTTGAACATAATTAGTTTAGATTAATGCTTGCAGAAAATTGTCAAGAAATGATTTGTGTGGTTGCTTTGGAAAAATTTTCTTCTGCGCTATACTTGCAATGTCACTCATTTAGTGGGGGCTGGTTCACCACAATCACATGGTTACTTAGAGATGTATTCATTCACTAAAATCATTTGTCTGCACAAATAGTTGCTAGGATTTTTTTAAAATGCTTTTATACAGAATTTTTCATTTAGAAAAGCAGTTGTATACTTAAGAGAAAAGCAGTGAGTCTTCTGTCTGAATTTTGATCGTATTGCATGTGATTTCAGATAACCGTTTATCACATTGGAGCTGAGGAGCACCAAGACATAGATGTAGCCATTTTGACAGCACTGTTAAAGGGTAAGTATCCTGGGCTTCAACAGCTTCCTCGGCAACTGTAGCTGAAGCACTTTTTTTAACTCACTCCTGAGTTGTGCGCTTTGACTAACACTTTTTTTGCCCAGTATGTCAAGCGCAATTATATTGGTGACTGGATGTGTTTACTTGTTAAATATTTCTAACAAAAAGGTATTTAAGAATCAAAGTTAAGACCTTTTATAATTCTGAGAGCCCTATTTGCTGCGTGATGTTCTGTAAATGCAGAATCACAGAATCGTTATAGTGCTGAATGAAGCCATCTGGCCCATTGAGTCTGCACCAGACCTCTACCCCATCCCTGTTGCCCCACATGTTTATTTTTTAACCATGGCTGATCCACCTAACCTGTACATCCCTGGACACTACAGGCAACTATTTTTTTCTCGTTATGGCCAATTCAACTAACCTGCACACTTCTGGACTGAGAGGAAACCCACACAGATGTGGGGAGAACGTGCAAACTCCACATGGACAATCGTCCTGAGGCTGGGATTGAACCTGGGTCCTTGGCATTGTGAGGCCACAGTGCTAACCACTGAGCCATCAGAATGCAGATGCTGAATAATCTTTCGCCAGTGCTTTGGTCAGAGTGCAAACAAATTCCTTTCTATCAGCTCAGACTTTTTTCCCAGATGTAATAAATCCAATAATGACGAAGATGGAAGTAAAATGATTCACGAAATAGTCAGTTGGATTGCTCATCAAATACGTTTCAATAAAACCAATTATGTTGTTTCATATAAATTGCAAACTTGGAAATCTGCTGTGGTGACAGAATCATGTCTGCTTAAGTTTTAAATAATGAATAAAAGTCAAAATAGTTTCTGTGCTTTGATGTTCAACCTGAAAGCAGAATTGTACTGATCTGAAGCTTGATGACAGCCCTGGAATCTTTGAGTTGTGGTGTTAAGCTGCTGCAAGTGATAGGAACATGAAGGTTCAGAATGAGGCAGGTTAGGTGCGTAACGCAGAAATTAGAGAAAGTAACTTTGAGCAGCAAAAATCTACCTAATTGCTAGTTAAGGACAATGAGATTTATGGTGGGAATTAAAGCTTAAAAATAGATCTTACAAGGATTATTATTCTGTGCACCCTGTGGCAAAGGCCATGAACTTGAAGTAGAATTAAGCTGCAGTCGACATTTTACTTTCTGTTTAAGCCATCTGTCCTGCTTGAACGTGAACTCATCAATAGTCAAAATATAACCAAATTCTGTCCCTGTAACTAGAAAGACGAGCCTGAAAATTAGTTCTGGCAATGGCTATGACACATATAACATGAATATACTACGTCTTTTCTACAGCCTGTTCCAAATAGCCAGTTCATGTATCTCACTGAAGCTATAACTGTTTTAAATTCAGGTACCAATTCATCTGCATTTGATCAGTTGATTTTGACTCTTGCTTGGGACAGAGTGGACATTGCGAAGAACCATGCATTTGTTTACGGGCAGCAATGGCTGGTATGTAAACATTCATGTTCTTTAAAGAATAATGCAGCAAATAATGGGATTGATAATACCAGTTGATTATTACTTGATTTTTTTTTTCCTGTCATTGTGAAGTTAAAGGTAGTTCTTTACATATAACTTGTGAAGTTCTGATCTCATTTGTATATTTTTTCATGTTTAATGTTGCTGAGCAGTAGGTCAGACTTTATCGTTGAGTTTATTGAATGTTGCAGGTGGGATCACTGGAGCAAGCAATGTTGGATGCTCTTGTTATGGACCGAGTGGAATTTGTGAAACTTCTCATTGAGAATGGAGTTAGCATGCACAAGTTCCTCACAATCCCTAGGCTTGAAGAACTGTACAACACAGTAAGTGCAAGGAAGCCTAAACACGGCAATATTAATCTCGAGTGCACAAATTAGATCTGAAGGATAATATGTTTTCAAATTTTGTGTAAATATTTCAGATTCTTGAGTCACAAATGCTGGTAGTTGTACTAATGATTCCTTATTTGGGAAAATGTTTTGATTATTGGTTAATATAAAGTGCATGTAATGTTAACTATGCTTTTACCTCCACCTGTACTTTTTGATTGTTTTAATCAATCTGTTCAGATATGATACCTCTGGAACTGGTGGAACTTGCCCTGGGGCCTCCTGGCTCACAGTGTCCCTATCACTATGTCACGAGCCCTTCATCTGTATTTTTAGTATAATAAAGATTAGGGCTATCTGACACAAACCTTTAAAGGATATCCTTTATAGTTTAAATGTTAGTTGCTGCACTTACAAAAGTAAATTGCTGGCTGTGAAGAACTTGGATGTTCTGCAGAAATGATTGCCAGCATTAATGTGTGTTCTGCCTGCCCTTTCTTCCTCCTTTTGCTGCTCTCAAATACTTTGACCACTTCAATTTTATTGTTTCATTGCAGAAGCAAGGTCCAACCAATCCAACACTACTTCATCTCGTGCGAGATGTTAAGCAGGTAAATTTTCTGCTGTTTACCTTTTAAGCTGCATGGTAGCAGGTTGATCTCTGACAAATATTTATGGCAGTTTATAAACATAGCTTTTTTAAAATGTCAGATTTTCACAATGATATTTTTAAATTGTCCAAATTATAAATTTTCCTGTAAAGGACATGACATAGATTCTTGCTGTTGATCTATGAAAACAAAAAAAATTGAATGCAGGGGCATCGTGGTCTCTATAAAGTTTACCACTGAAGGGAACATGCAATTTTCTTGAATATTTAGAAACTTTATTTCTCTACCTTTTTGTGAATTGTTCTTCGCTAACATTGAATTGCTTCTAAAATTCATCTTCAGAGAAGATACTTGTCCATTCCTGGGATGAAAGGCATCTCCTGTGAAGGAGGGTGAACAGGGTGGGCCTCTTTTCATTGGAGTTCAGAGGAATGAGGGATGATATTAAAACATATTGGGTGTTGAGGAGAATAGGTAGGATGGAATTCTAGAGGATATTTCCTCTTGAGGAAGACTAACAACCAGGATTGTAAGAGGCCTCCCATTTAAGAGATGAGAGTGCTTTTCTCTTGAGTGTTGAAGTGTGGAATGGTCTCCCTCCGAAGATAGTGGAGGGTCATCTTATAGTGTTGGATTTTTGTTAGACAAGCAAAGTGAAGCCGAGACCACAACCATATCAACCATGATCTTACTGTATGATGGAGCAGGCTCAAAGGGCCAAACAGCCAGTTCCTTAAGGTTAGCAGATGTCTAGACAAACTATGTCCTTTGTGAAAGACAGGCAAACCAGAATGGCATGTTTTAAGAAGAATATTGCTAATAAGGCTCTCTTGATAAAGACTTAATGAGCATCTTAAAGTGAATGAAAGCTTACCTACCTCAACATCAGTTGCTGACACCAAGTTAGTTATTGGGAGGCAGAGTGCAGCATCTCTCACTGTCTTAATCCGGTGGAAATCCACATTTTCATC